AATAATAATAATAATAATAATAATAATAATAATAATAATAATAATAATAATTAGTCAATTTAGCAGCCGCTGACCGAGCTGGGAAGACTCTGGGATGGAGATTGGTTTTGTATACGGCACTTACGCCCTGGGAAAGCTACACAAATTAGTAAGAAATAAGCGTTCGAGGTCCTCAGTATAAACTGTCTGAACAACGGTGTAGCTATGAGGAATTGATTCCTTCTAGGAGACTATGATCTCTTGTTCCTTCCCATGCAGTTTGGTCTTAAAGCCTTCAGCTGGGTGAGAGTCAAAAGTAAAACAATTAACTTCTACTTTTATTAGAACAAGTATTTTGCTTGGCAACAAACGTTGGAGGTTGTTCAATTGATCAGCTTGCAGAGCCAGGCACGTTGCCAGGTTAAACTGCCGTTTTGGAGTCATCTTTACAGCGGCATAAAACTTGCTTACCAAGACGGCGAAAAACAGTTGTACAATAGGGTTTCAAAATTTGCGAGCAAGTTTAGTTTCGGGAAACCTTTCTTCGAGGATCTTTACATGCTTGAGAAGTTTTTATTAGTATTCACCCAGTCTGTTACTGCTTAGTTGAGTTGATGACAAATGCCGAGATTAAAGGGCTAAAGGAGCACGTTTCCCAAAGTCTTTAATTGGCGTGCTACATGCTATCGAAGTCGGTTTTTGATTGTTCAGTAATCCTTGTATTTGCTCAGACGTAAGCACACTGCATACACTGTCGGTTATCAGCTTTAATTAAATTTTGCATTCACCGCAATTACACTTCAACATCCGATGTCTTTTTCTTGCATTTAATCAACCTTTTTGGAACTAATAAATTAGCACTCTCAGAGAAAACGTTTTGAGGAATACAAAATCTTAATTTATTGTGCCCCAAGGAGTAATACCCGGTTGATCGAAATTTCTGCTCTTTCTAATTAACTGTTATTAATTTATTGCGTTATGGTGCGTCAACCAATCAGAGTCGAATATCTGGTGCAAAAATAGACCGTTAATTGTTTTGGCACTTGATTAACTAAACGTTGTCGGAGAGTTCATTTTTTTTTTGGCTTCCCATCAGTGTTACATGCTTTTTTTAACGGCTTATGAATCTTAATTAGATTTCCTAAGTTTAGCCTCTTGTTCGTAGATGATCCTTTCGTTTCCTTTTTCAAACTGCTTTAGTACTAAGAACTGTGCAGTCTCAAGACCACTTGATTCTTTTTGAAGCACATTTTTTCCCCGCAACCTCATCTTTTTTCTCTTAAGTAAATTAACTTTATCTCGTAACATACGTCACCGAACTGCCGTTTTCGCAAGTAAACAGAAGGAAAAATTTCCATTTATTTTGACGCACTGCGCGCAAAATGCAAAATCATTGGCTCCTCTCAGTTTCATGCTAGATTTGCATAATTTTATTGCCGATGTGAAATAACTTTGTCGCAAACGCTGTGAGCTCACCGCTTTCCTAAACAACTTCGATTCAACATTGGTCAAGCGTTAAAGTATATCAATAATATAAAAGCTTGGTGGTATATTTTGATTCGTAACGTCAACGACATAGTAAGCAAAAGTTAGAATTTTCATTGCGCTAAAACTGAGTTGTCATCTGGTGTTTGCTTTCCGTCAGACTCATAACGATCGCAGGCAGCCACCAGCAAATTCTTACGTCAATGGATGAAACCAAAGGTACATAGAAACGGATAAACACAAAACAAAACATACAAGTAAACTTCGAGACCACGACTACATACATTAAACTCAAGAAGCGGTTTTCGTCGACGACGCTGCAATCAGTTTTCACCGAGCCGTCTTTTCTTAATAACTTTCAGTTGTTTCGAGCATGTTGTCTGGATCAATTGCTGTGCTTTTCTTGGTGGGTCTCTTTTCGCCAGGTTAGTATTATTTCATTCGTGTTAGAAATGCTTACTTTTCGTGCAACTGGCTCTTGAAATTACCGGAAAGTTGACCGCGAAAAAGACGTTCGAAAACGAAGAAGAAGCACGTAAAGTCATCTCTATAAGCTAGCTGATATTGTTACAATGTGTGATCAATGCATATGTCTTTCGAATCAC